GGCTGATAGTCATGGAGCTCCCATTGGCACCCGTCAATTAGGTAAAATATCATCCAGGAAATAGAAACAATTTCTGTGAACTCACATTTATGCGTGCTGTAGTATGTTCTATAATCAGACCCAGAACCTCTCTGTTGCTCTCTGATTATTTACACACTGTTTATTTCCCAAATGCCTATGATGCAATGAGTGTGGGTGTGGGAGAGCTCCTGCAGGGTTCCTTTGCAAGCTGCTGGCAATCTGGGCATTTGTGAAAGGGAGCCCGAGCTATGCCAATTCTCCCACTCTATGCTTCACAAGGGCACCCGGTTTCCTGAGGTGCACGTCAATAGTCGGAAACAATGAATGGATTTCCTCTTCCTGACCCTGCTTACTTTTGATTTTACAGAGATAATGTGTGGTTTCAGATTATGCCAGGCTACCCAGCCTCTTGGGATTTATATATTTGTATGAACTCTCTAAGCCATAGCTATGCAGGTAGTCCTCGACTTACAACAGTTCATTTAGTGACCATTCAAAATTACAACCGCACTGAAAAAAGTGACTTATGACATTTTTCACACTTATGGCCATTGCAGCATCCCCAAGGTTGTGTGATCAAAATTTGAATGCTTGGCAACTGACTCATATTTATGACAGTTGCAGTGTCCCAGAGTCATGTGATCATCTTTTGCGATCTTCTGACAAGCAAAGTCAATAGGGAAGCCAGATCCATTTAACAACCCTGTTACTAACTTCACAACTGTACTGATTCACTTAACAACTGTGGCAAGAAAGGTTATAAAATGGGGCAAATTCACTTAACAACTGTCTTACCTAGCAACATAAATTTTGGGCTCATTTGTGGTCATAAATTGAGGATTACCTGTATTCTTTAAGCTAGTCCAGTGTTTCTCAGCCTTGACAATTTTAAGGCATGTGGACTTCAACTCCCAGAATTCCACAGCCAGCAATGCTGGCTGTGGAATTCTGGGAGTTGAAGTCCACATGCCTTAAAATTGTCAAGGTTGAGAAACACTGAGCTAGTCTGAGGTGTAGGGTTTCACTACTCAGAAGCTTCTTTGATGTCAATCTAACTTAATCTGCAACTAAAGCAGCATAATATGAGGCTGTGTCACTTGTTTAAAAATTCTTTGACCTGATTTTGAAAACTTACGTGATTCAGGCACTTTCTTACTTTCTTACATTTATTTCACTCTACAGTCCTTTCTTACCTGCATCCAACCACAGCTGCATGCCAATGAACACAGACCTCAGAAAAAATTTTCTTTTCTTTTTTCTTTTTAACTTTCCATAACATTACCTTCAATTGTCCCCAACCACGAGTGAGATGAGCATAGATTATCCATAGTTGTACTGGTGTTAAAATAGTATTTTCCTCCTTGTTTCAACACTTTCTGAGGAAGGCCTCAAAGTCTATAAAATCTGTTAGGTTCTGTTATCCATTACTTTGAAAAGAAGTTAAGTGCTTGCAGTGATTTGCAGCAAAGGCAACAAAACAATTAGCAATTTCATGCTTGGTGTAACTTTTTGGCAGCTCACAGACTGATGGATAACACTTAAACTTGGTAATAGGGAAAGGTGCATAGAGGTTGAAAAGCCGTGTAGTTCCAGACATTATGAGAAATAAAATGCATAGATGATGTTGGTGTGTTTACAGTGTTTTACTAAGGTGACCAACCCTCCTCCTTTAGGGAGAACAGTCCTCCTTTTGTAAGTTCTGTCCTGCCTCAAAAAGTGTCTTCCTTCATGTCCTCCTTTTCGATATTTGAAGACTAATCTGCAGGGCTTTTTTTCCCCTCATAGAATGCTCAGAACAGCGTTCTGGCACCTTTTTTTGATGGGTTTTTTTTTCAACTTTTGCATGAGCTGTGCTACTCCCACTATTGGCTTTTGAAAGCCAATAGGAATTGCTGCTGAGCGTGCCAAAACACCTGGCTGGCAAACTTTGCACATGCAAGTCATCTGTATTATTGTTGCAATGAATAAAATGTTTCTTTTATTTACGATATTTTTTTCTTTTGTGTCCTCCTTTGTGTCCTCCTTTTCATTGTAAAAAAGCTGGTCACCTTAGTTTTACCGAAGAAATATGTGGGATCCAGTGTTACATAGAAGGGTGGGAAATGACTCAGGAAAGGTGTTTTGCCAGTTATGCTAAACTTCATCCAGAGTGTGTTTACCCAAACAGGCGACTTCTATTGTTCTCTGTCTAGCCCCACCCTGGGCTTAGTGTTATTTATGTCTAATAAAACATGAGCTCTCACAGACCAACAGTAGGGAGGTGAAAACAAGGAGGCAAACCCTGGGGAAGCCAGCAGTCCTGACTCCCGGCAACATTTTGCCAAATCTAGGAGACATTAGCTAATATAAAAATCAGTGCTTCAACATGTGATAATTAGTGTTTAACTTCCTGTTGGCGATACTAACTCAATTGCTCAGTTATATTTATTGGACCTCATAGAGCAGACATGTCAAACACAAGGCCTGGGGGCCAGATACGGCCCACGAAGTGGTTTCATGTGGCCCGCGAAGCCATCCTGGAAACAGTGAGGGAACGGCCCCCACTGCTTTGGCCCTGGCCAGCCAGGAGCCAATGTACAATTTTGTGGTGACCATCTATGCTGAAACGCATTCAGTCTTAGCTCCACAAGGCCGTCTGGAAACAGCGAGGAACCAGCCCCTGCCACGTCGGCCCCACCCCCTGGGTGCATGCTGGGGAAGTGTCACCCTTTGTGAGGAATGAAGAAATGCACCATGCCTTGGCGCTTGCCCCAGTCCCACCCCCTTCTGCCAGAGACCCTCAGATCTGTCCCACTCCTGCCCAGGTCCCCACAGGCACCCTTGATGCGAACGATGTAGAGCTGTCCATGCCCACCCAGTTGGCCACACCCACTCTGTCCATGCCCACCCAGTAGGCCGCACCCATCCTGGCAACACCCACCCGGCCTCCTGAGGGCAACTGCAATACTGATGCGGCCCTCAATGAAATTGAGTTTGACACCCCGGTCATAGAGCTACCTTGGATATATGCAGCTCCAATAATATCAGATTAACTGAATGTAAACTCTTCCAATGATAACTCTGTAACTTCTGTTGTACTGAACACATGTGTCAAAGTTAGAATTTTCCAAATTGATCAGAAATATTTGGCTTCTCCCTTCTGTGTCCTGCCTCCTCCCTCCAAAAATAACTTGGAGTGGCTGGCACCAATTTTGATTTCATTATTTGCACATATAAATAACAGATTCTTAAAGACTGGAGTTTGGCAATAATTGCTGTCACTTTTAAGATGAGATAGATTTTCCTGACTATAGCAAACCAAGTCATTTATTAAGTGTAGTTCTAGACTAGACACCTATACAGAAACTTTCAGACTCAGTAATGGAATTAAGAAAAGATACTTGTTACAAATAAAGCCTTCCAAAGCAAAGGGCCTGGGTGTTTGAGGTACTGCCAGTCCCCCTTAGGGTCTGCTCAGCTGATTTGAACCACCAGGATTGGATCAATTAAACAGTATGATCAATTGGCACTATAGAAATGTGTCTTCTTGCAGCACTGTCTGCTCTATACAGTAGGATCCATATGCCCCCTTCCCTTCTAGTGTTTGGAAGGGGCTTGAAGACCTGGCTTTTCTCCTAAGCTTTTAATGAGGGTGAGTGAGGATCTCTTGGATTATTTTTTTTCTAGTCCAATCCAGTCCAGTTTCTTTCATATTTCTATCTTTTATTCTTTATTTTTGTTGAATACTTTTTAAAAGTGTCTTTACTGGTGAGCTACATAAAATCATTTAAAGTCAGGCAGCCTACAGATTTTAAAATAAATAAATCATTGTTGCGAATGAACAAGCAGATTTCAGAGCTGGCAAAAATACAAAGGGGAATATATTTCTGTACCACTTACTTGATGAAAAAAATGAAGCAAAACAAGCTGCATTTATTGATCTTAAACAGGCATTTGATCATACCTTGAGAAATGGGAGGAATTGTAGAGGTTCAGCAACTGATTGTTGTCTGTTTGTTCTTATCTATGTAAGAAGTAGGAAAACACCAATCTTAAAATAGGATGAAATGCAGCAGACTGGATTTTTCCTCTGATGGGATGCGATGATCAGGAAAGAGGGACACTGAAACAGGCTTACTGAAGTAGTATAAAGGAAGATTAAGGTGGAGTTTCTGCAAGTGCAATAACCAAAATTTCAGGGCAGTCAGCCTAACTAAACTGGTTACATATTACCTGCTTTCCTGAGACCCAGAATTTCAGCACAAGTTCAAAGTACAATGAAGAGAAGATGGTCCTTCCTTCCTTCCTTCCTTCCTTCCTTCCTTCCTTCCTTCCTTCCTTCCTTCCTTCCTTCCTTCCTTCCTTCCTTCCTTCCTATCTCCATTTTAATAGAATGTAGAGAAAAGTGAAAACCAGCTCCTTTGGAGAAACTGACTGTTGCTTTGCCCAATTCTTCATGGTTGATATCTTGGTCTAAATAGCAAATCAGATATAAAACCTAACCGCCTCCCCCCCCCCCAATTATTCTTGAGTGAATAATAAAGGCATGGTCTAATTTTCATCAGTTGTGCCTTTGAATAAATGGATTACATAGCAGACTTTCTTTTTCTTTTTTGGAAAAGTGGAATTCCATTTATTCATGCTGCTTAGGACGGGGTCAACTTATCAGATGCGTTAGATGACATAATTGTGCCATTCCACAAACTAGAGATTTGTCACACATCTCTTGGTTGGTATCTTAGCTGAATGACTTCCTATTATGCTGCTCTCTTCTGTGGCAGGATCCCGAGATAGACATGGAACAATGGGTGGAGAGCAGGAAATGCTGTATGAGAAACAGGATTTCATGTCAGTGCTGAGCTGTCTGTAAGGGTCTCTAGGCATTCCTCCATCCTGCCTGAACCCCAGCCAATTTTTTTTTTCCTGAGACAGCCCCAGCAGCTCATGTTGTACTCAGTCCATTTCCACTTTTAATCCATTTCCTGTCCTGCCCAGTTTTCTTTTGTGGCCATGCTGAGACTCTCCAGTTAGGCTTCCGAGTCAGCGTGGAAGAAGCAACAGGATTATATTCGCTCTGCAGCTACATGTGGAATGAACAGCAAGCTAATATGGATGGATAGGCTTTTGGGTGCCAATGTGAACTCTTGAATGAATGAAGTTCCTGGAACAAAGAAAAAAATCCAACTTCTGTGGTTCCCTAGGTGGAGTTTTTCCTAAGATACTCTGCATGATAATACTTTCTGCTGAGTTCCTTCAAACTGAAGAACTATACACTGATTCTGCTTGATCTAGAGACAATTTCCTTGTAACTGATTTACCTCTAGTAAAGGATGGAGGATTTAAGAACAACAAGCTTAAAAGATACATATGGCGAGTGAGAAATAACAGAAATAACTCTTAATACCTCTTCTTCTTCTGATATAGTGATGTTTCAATTCTCCTGACATTGAGCCCTTTCCTGAAAATGAGATTGGATACAATTGGTCTTCTCAGCTTCTTCTTGCACCTAACAGGTAAAATCTGTTTTAATTATTTCTATGATGGTTCACCAGCACCACCACCAGAGTCGTTAGTTTGAGATGGGCAGCTATTCAAATGAAATGAATAAACAAGCCATTTTCCTTACCTAATCTTACCTAACTATACCTTACCTATCATCCACATTTCTACACCAATATTCAACCAAAGAACCACAGTCAACTGAATAGCTCACAAGCTGGGGTTAAAAAAAAATCATGAAATAAAAAAAGGAATAAAATGTAATGCAAAAATTATAACAAATCAGTTCAGACTAAAGCCCATGTTATAACATGCAAGCAGTATAGGAGTCTAAAAATATTGTTTCAAAACCAAATAAGAAAAAAAATCTGAATAATAGAAAAGTATTTGGAATGGCGTCCCAAAGGCCAAACCACGGACACTATAAGACATTAATCTATTCCAGTGGAGAAAAAAATATCATCACTGGAGTTCATATTGAAAGTAGTACCCAACAACTTTACTTTGGTATTAGAATGAAAGAGAAGGCAACCAAAATTATTCTAAAACTAGTGGAGAAAATAAAGAATTTAACCTCCACCACTCCTTGAAGCCAGAGGACAGAGAACAGAACTTTCTGATTCTTCTTTGAAGAATAGTATTTCTAGGTAGAACTATTCATGTGTGCATTTTATTCTTTTTAATTCATAGTTAGATAGATCAATAGCATCTGCCAATCTACTCTGAAAGCTGGGGAGTTACAGTGAAAATAATCAACAGTGGTAGACAATCTAGGAGACGCATGTTAGCTTATGGCAGCAAAAAATCAGAAGGCATCTGGAAGGACGTTTTTGGATTAACAGATTTTTGTTAAAAGGCATGTGGCTCACTTCCATTACTTGCAAAGGTTTATGCCCCTTAATAAAATGTGTTACTTGGAAAAGAAAATAACAGATGGGTAATTTTGAAAGATGCAGTGAAACAGATAAATCACTCTTTTGTTGTGTTGCTTTTATTTTTTATCTAGATGTTGCGGGTACTATTAAAGGCAGAATAAGCACTTTGGAAGATACTCAGTCTTATTTAGCCAGCCCAGAGATATTCTATTTTTTTTGAGCCACATATACAGTCTTTGAGTACCTTGGTACTCAAAATACAAAATTCCACAACAAGGTTGTGACCCATATTAAGAAGTGAACAGACCAAAAACTAAATCTGTCTAGATTTTTATTGAAATTTTAATACCAAATATAACTGATATAATCAGTTTCTATGTATTTTATGAAAGATGCCTTCTATCACATTTAGTTTTAAAACATAGTGGCAATTTTTAGGGGTAGTTCTGGGGCTCACTCAAAACCTTAGGCCTCAAGATGGATTATTTTATCGTGAGGACTCATCAGGAAACTAGTAGCTGGATTTGGGATTTAAACATTTTAACAGATTTTTCTTACCAATTTCTTACTAATAAGAAAAATAGAAGCTTGAAGAATTGAAGAGAGAAGAGAGAGAGAAGGAGGGGGGGAGAGAGAGAGAGTTTAAACCATGTTCCCAATTCACATCATGTGTTGTTGGCAATGTTGTATGAACAAAAAATATAAAGGGGGCATAACTTATTTTCTTTATTACAAAGCAGTTTAACTGACCAGCATGGGAGAAAATGAACTTCAGCATTCCCATCTGCAGAACATCAGACAAAAGTTAACATTTTTATGAGAAATTACATCAGAATGTCATAGAACACTTAATTGAAAATAAACCTTCAGGAGAAGTCTTTCCAAAAGGGGAATCATTTCACATGCAGAGATGGTTATCCAAAATTTTTACATGTCTAGCAATAAAACTTGAAATAATTTTCTAGATTTCTATGTTCAAAATATTACACAGTTGATATGTAGATGAATTTCACACATGCTAATTACAAGCATGTATTTTGATGTATGTAATTTTGTGAAAGACTGACTTTAAGGAATTTTGTCACATTCGTAAAGGATCAAAAGTTATTAACTTTGACTGTCAGATCTTCTATTCTCAGTTTGCTTTCCAAGTCACAACAAATACAGGAATAAATTAATACATTAGTGATCTAAGCTACAATGTGATCTGGATGTAAATAAATAGTGAATTAGATTCCTCTGTGCTAGGAAAATACTTATCCAACACACTTTTATTTTTCAAATCCTTTGGTAACCAAAATAAAATGTACAAGGATACAGAATATCATTGTCCATATTCAATAATTAAAAATTCATTCAACAATTATTGTAATTAATGTATATAAAGTATATAATATAACTATTATTAAAATGTATAAGCCATCCAACTCCCAGCAATCCAAGACACTATACAATTTTTTAAACCATTTAGAAACAAAGAAACAACACAAAACCAACACAACCAAAGGAACAAAGATTGCAAAGAAGTAACAGAACTCTTGAAATTAATTTTGTCATGAGAGTGCTGCCCACTATAGGGATTTAAAAACTGAGCTGGGAGCAGGACCCCAAATAGTGATCACAATAATATATTATGAAAAGGAGCTGTATCTCACAGAAATGCATATGAATAAGTCTTCAGGATGCATAGAGAGTTTTACAAACATTGTCATGACTCCCCAGTATAATTTCATAATTAAGGCTGAGGATTTTTTTTATACTTTCCAAGTATAACAAAAGTTGGGCAGAAAATATGTAAGTAGGGTCATAAATCTGTTCATCAACATAATAATTCTCCAAAAACACAATGGGACCAAAGTTAGTTTGGAGGAAGCAGTCAGAAAAAGAAAGATCAAATATGAAAATAAACCAGATAAAAGCAGGGACTATGGAGAAAAAAAAATCCAGAAAGATTCCCTGGAATAGTGCAGAAAAGGTGACCGAGAATGGATGCCAAGAAAAATGAAATCAGAATATAATCAATTACGGAGTCCTTGGTGTTCCCTGAGCTTGCAGACATTTCATTATCTGACTAGGTAACATCATCAGTACTAGTGAGTGTGAGGCTTACTCCCTGTTTATAACAAGAAATAGCATTTGCATGATAATGAGAGTAATAACACTGAATTATTCTATTGGTCTGTTTATTATTTATTAGTTTTATAAACCTAAGTGGCTATGATGAGTATTGAAAAGCCTCATCCACTTCGAAAAACCAGAGGACTAATTAATATCAGCTTCTGTTAGTGCTATTTGTTTAGTATTTTTCTTTATTCTTGTTTGCTTACGCTGTATGAGTTCCATGAGTTCTAATTCTTTCTCTGAGTCTGAGGCTTTCCTTCTCTGACTTTCCCTTTTCTAGGAGAGAGAGAGGCAAGAATCATACTATCTTACATAATCAAGGCAAGATTTACAGTAACATTGAATTATTTGAATCATGCTTATAATTATCTGCTGTCCATGTCGATAAGATGGCTGCTTTGGTTCTTTTGATGCAGGCGCAATTCTGGATATCACTCTGGTGGCCAATGTTCTGAGTCCTTCACACAACAACTTCTACCTGTCCTGTGTGACAGGCGAGCGGAACATCAGCCTCCAGATTGACAGAGACAATGCCATGATCAAGACCACATCCAAGTTCCAGATATACAAGAACAGCAGCAAGGAAGTGCATATGCGAGGTTTTTCTCGAGCAGGCCTGGTGGGCATCACATATTGCCTGGGGAAGACACAGTCAGAGCAAACTAGAGTTGTTTATGTACACAACGATATTAACGGTAAGTGTGATAGAGCGATACATGTAACACAGTGGTTCTCAATGTTTGTGTGACGGCGACCCCCGTCACACAAACGTCCTGCGCATGCGTGGCGGCGCGCACATGGGGGGGCCGCGCATGTGCGGCGCGCATGGGGGTGGGGGCCGCACATGTGTGGCGTGCGTGGGGGCGGGTCACGCATGCACGACGCACGTGCGTGGCAGCGCCCCCATGCGCGGCGCGCATGCGCGATGGCGCCCCCTGGGGGGAGAAAATGGCAGATTGCCTTCTTTGGCGACCCCCGAAAAATGGTCGATCGACCCCAAATGGGGTCGCGATCCATAGGTTGAGAACCGCTGATGTAACACATACTGATATGTGATTATCTAAAGACCAAAATCTACACTTGAGTAATAATGAGAATATTACTCAAATATCTAGTTAATATTTCTCAACATTTACTTCTTATCTGATATGATGTAATGCTCTCTGTCATGATGTGAACCTTTTTACACACTATATTGTTGCTCTTCTATTGTTTGTGTGGAATTTTAGCATAGCATAAGTATGCTATGTCTGATGGGAAGGGCAAGGCAAAGAGCTTACTTTATAACATCTGTAACAGAGGAAAACCTATATGGCTTATATTTTAATTCCTACAAACCTGTCTCCACTCACCTCAGCTACCCCTACTATGTCAGATACACTTCTGTTCACACACACACACACACACACACACACACACACACACACACACACAAAATCCTTGCAGATAAATTGAGATGGAAATAGGCCAGCAAGTCCAATCTCTAAATTTGTTTGGAAGTTCAAATTACATGATCCACAGCCATCTCCACTTGACCATATTCAGTGAAGAGAAACTGACCACATTTTTGGATAATACTTCCAATTCTGTCAGACTGCTATTCCTTTCCACATTTTTTTTTAAATCAATCAAAATTTGACTTCATCCAACTGAAATCCATTATCCTATTTGTTACATTCTGGGCTAATGGAGAACATAGTGTGACATAGTTCTCTGTGACTTCCTTTCATCATGTCCCTCTGAGTCTTTCCTTTTTAAGAGTCAACATTTCCAGTTTGTTCAATTTCTTTTTATAACCCTTATATTACTGGATTTGTGCTCATCCTCATTTCTCTTCTCTGAACCTATTCCACTTTCTCTAAATTTATCTCTGACAGCAATATCTTGAATTGGACCCAATACATAAAGTGGAAGCTGCAGAGCATAAAGTACTTTGGAATCATTGCTTTCTGCAATCTAAATACTATACTTTTATCACTGCAGTATGACATTATATATATGTATATGTATGTACATATGTATGTATTGCAGACATATCATATTCAAATATCCCTTTTACCTTTTACCCTAACTGATCTGCTTGCCATTTGTTTCTGTGAAATGTCTCGGTGTTATTTGCCATTTGTTTCTGTGAAATGTCTCAGTGTTATTTCTTTAACCTATCAAGATCATTTGGAATTTTGTCTCTGTCTTTTAAGATATTAGCTTTCCACCAAAATTGTATCATCTTCAAATTTGATAATAAACATTCTTTCCACCTATTCATCCAGTTCATCAAGACAATTTTTACATAAAGAGAGGCATAGGTCTCCCATCCAGACTGAAAAACACAAAAGTAGCTTACCGAACAAGAGATTCATCCATCTTGTCAGTCAATAAGAAACTAATAACCGATAGCATTGATGCTCTGAGCCAATGTGGTGTAGTGGTGGAGGTTTTAAACTGGTACTGGGTTATAGTTAAAGGGCAGCTGAGAGAAACACTATATATGCCATCTTGAGGTCTTAAATAAAAGTTGGGATATAAATGTAACAACAGTATGAATTTTGTGTGTGTGTGTGTGTGTGTGTACTTCTGTATTTCACAGATTTTAAAACCCAACTTTTTTAACAATAAAGAAATCTCTGTTAGCCTCTAGATCAGGGGTGTGAAACTGCCAGCCCTTGGGCCAGTTGCATCATACAGAGGCCTCACCCACCCCAGCTCTAGTAATCAAAAAAAGTCACAATACGTCGCGACACATCACGTGACATGGCGAGTTTGACACCCTTGCTCTAGATGGTGTAATGTTATCTCTCAGAGGTTTACTAAGCTCTCTTCCTTTCTGTCTTCAGGCTTTAATGTTCTCAAAAATCTTTTATAATTAGTTGTTTTATTTCTACTAAACTTTTTATAAGCTTCTCTGAAGCATAAATTGTACAAATAAGAGGCTAACTCAAATAATTTCGCTCTGTTACACTGTGAGTCAAAATCAGAACATCCCTATGATTGAATGATTATAATTCTTCATTTCTTATTTCAAATCCACTCAATCTTAAATTGCACCTTTATGTTTTCCTTCAATGCCTGTTTGATCTCTTTCTTCCCATAATGACATATGAAATGTCAAATCTAATAAAAGTGTTGCAGATGTCACTGTAGCAATGCAAAAGCAAATATTCACAGAACCACAGCAAACAGACACAACTTAAAAAGGATATAATTAAGAAAAGAATTAAAATAGGCACAACATTAGACATAAAAAGTAAACCAAAAACTGTGCAAACAAAAATGAATGTTATGGTCAAACCCAAATGTCTTTTACTATTGTGCAAGCAATATAAACTAAAATATAAATCAATAGTGAAAACACTTATTTGTTCTGAGTGGATACTGCAATCTCATAAAATTTGTAGAAACTGACAGTAAAATCAATGACAAATTCAATATTTCATTGGATGTGGTTAAATTTTGTACAGACCAATAACTTTGATTGATTTAATATTTCTTGAGAAATCAACAAAATATCATATATGAAGGACTTGAAGCCTTACAGCAATCTCACTTTTAGCCATTTCTGATCCTTTTTTTCCTCAGGATTGGTTAAACATTTCAGTTTCAGATTCACAGGACTAGTAAATGATTTTCCTTTATAACTCACTTAATAACAATGATAAACCTATCTAACGAGATTGAAACCAGAAGAGCCTTAGTACTCATCTTTTCATAGATATCCACAATGTGTATTTGTGTTTGTGTGTGTCTGTTTGTGTAGATCTGCATCATGATGTTATCCTGTGAATGATGCAAGGCTGATAAATTCATTAGAATTTGTGATGCAAATTATATATCCATCTCATTTGTATTATGTCCTCTTGGCATAGGTGTTACCATTTTGATTCCATTGTGGCTTGTCATGGATGCCTATGATTCTTATCTTCCTTCCACATTGACACAAACATGTTGGTAAACCCTTTTTATATACCACATCCTCATGATAGTTCCTTCATCTCATTCCTAGCCTACATTGACACAACTTTAGCTATCACTTTTAGTTTTCCAGTTTTAAAGTAACATTTTCCCCTTTTTTTCAACCCAGTTTTTGCTGTGGATCAACTCACCAACCATGTAGCTGTTGACATTGGCAGGGGCTACAATCTATTCAGCTGTAGCTAACTATTTTAGGCAGCAGCAAGAATGACTCTTCCCAAAGAAAAATTAGTTTCCCTACGCTTTACAGAGGGTTAAACTAGATGAAACTTTTAGTTCTTTCCAACTCCATACTTTGCTATGATTCCACAATCTGGAGACTGTCTTCCATGGCATGCAGAAGAATTTGGACATTTGGTTTCTGTAAAAGCACTTGCCCAACTGGTGCTTTTGGAAAAGTCTGTAAAGTTTTCCATGGGCCCAATATAGATGCAGGCTTAGTACTCGTGAAAAGGATGAGTTCTGTGTTGTACAAAATATTGACTTAAACAAGGAAATACAGCCAGGTTCTTACAGATGTCTATTGCTGATGCTATTATCAGTGAGGGCATTACAGATTTTCTGTTTTTGCTCTCATTACTGAGAGTGGGATTGTCACCATTTTGCTTGTTCATATATTGAATTGCCTATCTATGGGCTACTTCCAAATACTGCTAGCCATGGCCACTCATACAGCAAGAACTACTTCAAAAACCTTTGAAACATATTTCAAAAATAGCAGGTTCAAAGGTCTGTAAATCCAGATACCACAATGGAACTAGTCCCCAAAGGAATAAGTTCATTCTGCATTCTGTGAGGAGTTTCCAAACAATAGGATGCAGTAACATATGTTTCTTCATAGCAGAAGCACAGTCAGCAAAGAAGCAAAGTAATTTTGCTTTACAATATCTTGCTGTTGATTTGATGGTTGCATCATGAAAAGGATTAGGCTTAGATACATTAAAATGGTAATGTGGTTGGGCTGATTTTTTCTGGATCATCTTTGCCTGTGCTCCTCACCCAACTTCTTGCTTTAGCCTGCAGCTTCCCCAAAGGAAGACATTACCAATAGGAAAAAAAAGTCCCCCAGAATGAGTATTGTACCTTCGTCCCATACAGTGAAATATACATTTTCTGTATGTTCCCCTCTTCCTGGCAACGTATTTAGTCATTTATATGTTCCATTAAACAGTATGTGCTCTGATAAGTGGTAGAAAACCCAGATATACTATAAGTGCCCTGACAGTTATCTGAGGTCTTCTTTCAGATATCAAGACCATGTATCTCTAATGAACAAGGAAGAGAAAATATTTCAAGGTATAATTCTGTAACCCAATTCCTTTTTTCTGTTCAACATTTCAGCCAACCTGGTCCCAGAGAAAGTGACCCACGCAATCAGTGTTTCCCAATCAGCCATACTTGTTGCCAGGATAAAGAACGGGAAGAAAACAGATATCTGGTGGAAAAGGAATGGCAAGTACTCCCATCATCTAACTGCATGTCTGTCATAAGATCTGCCCTTTTCCCAAGACATCCAACTTTTTCTTGGAAAAAAAAAACTCTTAAAGCTTGACTTTCTCTGTTGATACAGAAAAAACTAGGTATCCACTATAGGAGTGATTCTTAAGCATTTTATATTCTTAATAATGATTCAAGACCCAACGAGTTTTGGTTTGTGGAGGTTATATCTAGTGATATTTACTGTTTTAGAAATTGAAACTGATAAATATTAAAATGTTTATTTCACTTCATGGAGCCCCTGAAAGGGTTTCAAGGAAAAAAAAACCCCAGGAATTCCCAGACCACACTTTATAAAAACCGCTATGCTGTAGAAATATTGATCCATTATGAATGCTCATCCACACGTGGATCTATTTATTGGTTTCAAAATGGGAGCCTTGGACTTGTTTAGTTCCTCTACTATTCTACCTGCTTTCCTAATAGCAAACATCCAACTGCATGACCCCGTCACACCTCAGCATGCAAATCACATTCCAAAAGATGAATCTCTATTTCAGTAATATTTGTTTGTTCACCTGCTTTGGCTTTTTCTATTTTACTTAACTTGTTTTTTATTTTTTTTGTACAGGGACTTACTATGACACGATGCACCAAGGTGAGCTAAAGGAGAATAAGTCCATTCTGGTCCTGTCGTCTGTTACCATGGCTGATGGTGGGATTTACAGTGCCACCTTTATAGAGGACAGCCCTTTGTCAAGTGCCTTCTTCAGACTGATTGTGCGAGGTGAGACTGTGCATGCCTATTGCAACCATTTAATGCTCCCTGACATATTATTGTGGCTGCCTCTTTTTAAAGAGAAGAATGCCTCTTCTTAAAACTGCATCTCTCAACCTACTGCTCAAGAAATACTTTGAACTATACAAGTCAATCTCTCTTTCAATCAAGAATGTTGACAGCATAGTACTAAACATCAGAAGTGTTCCAGACTAAGAAAAAATATTCTCAGATGGGTATCCCTAAAAAGAGCAATGCTTTTCTCTTTTTACTAATTGTTCAGAAAGAACAATTTAATGGTTTGATTATCTTCACTTGCAGAAATGCCCTTTTCTATGCAACAGGTCACATGATCAAAATTCGAGTGCTTGGCAACTGGTTCATATTTATGATGGTTGCGATGTCCTGGGGTCATGTGATCCCTTCTGACAAGCAAAGTCAATGGGGAAGCCAGATTTACTTTACAACCATGTTATTAACTGAACAACTGCAGTGATTCACTTAAAAACTATGACAAGGAAGATCATAAAATGGAGCAAAATTCACTTAACAACTGTCTTGCTTAATTTGGGCTCAATTCTGGGCGTAAGATGAGGAGTACCTGTATTTTATTGGAGTGCACCTACCATTCCCAAATAGCATGGTCAGTGAAGGACATTCATTTAAAAAACACTGATGTAAAGAAAATTGAATAAAAATGATTGTTATGCTGATCTGAAGGCCTGTTTTTAACACACAAGTCATTTCCTGAAATTGTTGCCAGAGACAGCACACAGTGTATGAAATTATACTTGAACGTTGTGAGTGATTCTGCTGTAGCTTTTCCTCTCTGGTGTTGTCTGGAAACTTCATATCATTATTCTTCCTGTCTCTCCAGGTTGTGCAGCCAAGAAATGGGGCTCATTTTGTGACAAAGAATGTCCTGATTGTCTGAATGGGGGCATCTGCCATCACACTGTGGGAGAATGTATCTGTCCTCCAGGATTCATGGGTACCCGCTGTGAAAAAGGTTAGAAGCAACTTGTCATTGTTCTAGTGGAAATGGATCTTCCTGAGCCATGAACTGAACTTGAAAATCAGGAACTTCTTTACTGTACTATAGTAGTTTTCATGGGCTGCAAGGAATATGTCTGGTGATTAAATACAATAGTGGGGACCAGGATTGGAAGTTTTGTGTCTGTCCCCCCCCTTTTTTTTTCCAGGCTTTAGAAGGTATGAAACCCAAAAATATATGTACCTAAATTAATGCATCTGCTTTTAAGTTTTAAATTACCCCAAATGACTACAATTTGCCATTAGCTTTGTGTCCTGCCCTGTGGTATACAAAAAAAGGAATAGGATCCTACATACAGCATCCTTGATAAAATGTGACTCAGTGAAACCAATCTGCAAATACATCAGGATAAACACTCCTTTTTGCATCAACAGCACATAATCACCAATGGCCCAGTCAAAGGAAGTGGCCATCTTTGAAGGATCTTCACTGGAAAATTGATGAGGGGCCAAAAATTGAGTGACTTCCTGTCTTTTTTTGGGTGTGGGGGGGACATATTTGCAGACTGTAGAAAATCTGAATCAGTGATATCATAGACAGAATACCCTGATCTTCTCTGTTCTTATTCTCTTCTGGGCTGACTGCAGTTGGGGAAAAATGAGGGAGGGAATAAAATGAATCGCAAGAGAAGGATATATAGATGCATGTGTATGGATGTCTGCCTGCCTATGTGTGTACATGGATGTATATGTGTATACACATACACACACACACACACACGATCAACATCATTATAGCCATTGTCTATCCACTGCAGGATAAAGGCCTCTTCTGCATGTTTCCAATCAATATGGTCCTGAGCTTTCTTTTGCCAATTGGGCCCGCATTACTTGCTGAACATACACACATATATATATACATACATACATACATACATACATACATACATATATACATACGATACATATACAGAGAGAGTACATAATGTGTATGTATGTATGTGAGTGTGTAATGTATATCACTGTATGTATATGCACTATGGAAGGAAGGAAGGAAGGAAGGAAGGAAGGAAGGAAGGAAGGAAGGAAGGAAGGAAGGGAGGGAGGGAGGGAGCTTTCAATGCTTTCTGCAGCTTCCCACAAGGATGGGAAAGCTTCCCACAACTCGATTTGAAAGCCAGCAGGAAGTTGGAAGTCACTCCTGCTCCCACTGCTTTTTTGCCCACCTGTGGTCATTCTGTTTCTCTGTTTAGGAAAGAAATATCTCTGAAATGATGACCCAACAGGGCATGGGTTCTCTAGTAATTTTTTTTTAAAAAAATCCCAGAAGAAGGCAATGGCAAACCATTTCTGTAACTTTGCCAAGGAAACTGAAGTGATGCAAATGTTGGAAGTTATTCATCTTTAGGTTTTTCTTTTTGTCATTTACAAAGTGAAGAAGAGAAAAGCTGAGGGCCAAATAGTCCCATTACTGTAATCTAATTGTGGAATGCCAGTTCCATGCCCACGCTCTGGCATCCTACAGGGATTTCTACATTTGCCCTTTTCAATTATTAGTTATGGGTAGAAAACCGTGCAGTTTATAGTTTCCCTGAAACTCTGCAGAGAGATTAGTGAGTGTCCTGTGAGCAAAGGTATAGTTGTGACATATGGGAACAGGAGTATACTAATAATCATTGTTGAAGTGAAAGATGTTCTCTGACAGGAATCTTCTTGCTTTTGCAGCATGTAGGGAAGGTCAGTTTGGGCGAAACTGCCAAGAGAGGTGCCCTAGTGAGCAGGGCTGCAGAGGCTTATCCTTCTGTCTGCCTGACCCATATGGCTGTTCCTGTGCTGCTGGGTGGAGTGGAGTACAATGTAACTCAGGTATGTCTACTTGCAATTGATTTATTGCAGCCTGGTGATACTGCCACACTCAGGTAATAAACATGATCAAATGGATGGAATGAGGAAGGAAAGTAAAGAATTGACTTACTTTTCAAAAGGCAACAGGGAATTACAAAAAGTCCACAATAAATCAGTAAAACCATTGCTGTATTAATTTCTTTTGTTGTATTATTCTCAACAGGGGTTGACCCTTTTTTATCCAGGAGATTTCCCCAAAATATCAAAGATATTACACTTACACTTTTCAGCTTTGCTGAACTACTAAATAGCATCAGGACTAATGTTTATTATATTTTAGAATCTCACTTAATAAAGAACCCATTATTTGAAATGCTTTGAGAATACTATGTAGAAAACTTACAGAAAGCTAATATTTTACCACTTACAGGTAAATGTTCAGATACTAGAATTTGATTTTCTCAGTAAGTTAAAGTAAAACAATATATTATTTTATATTCAGGTAAAACAGGTCATTTTTATAATAAACTCATTCTAACTCAAGTGAATCAGGAGAAAACAAGAATTATATCTGACAAAACAAAAGATGGACCGCAAGGATTGTTGCTATTATGTTTAATGCATGTACACTTTTGATTTCATTGTCACTATCAACAGAACAATTACATGTTCCCTGGAAAATCTGGATATGGAAAATAAGTAAAAGAGTTCCTGCTTCATCCCAGACACAGGATGGTGCAGAAGCTTTATTCAGCTTTGGTTGCTTTCTCTGTTGGGGCTACATTTGGCTCATAGCCAGAAGAGAATGGCTTCCTCCTTTTGTTTCTTCAAAATAGTTTCTCTCCTGCTTGGCCCTGACATAGAGTCAGAAAAAAAGAAAGATGCTTGTAAGCAGGAAGTGAGTGGGAAAAAAAATGTTTTAAAAGTAACCCTATCCTGACTGCCCGCCTGTTTCTGATGCTACATTTTCTCGTTCCTTGGCAATGATCTCTCCTATACTGTTGTTTGTGTTCTGAGGGGAAATGTTCTAAGTCAGGGTTAAGCAACTTGATACAATCCTAGTGATTTGGACTACAACTTCGAGAAATCCATCTCCGCCATTAGGCCAGAGCTGATGGGAACTGAAATCCAAAATATTTGGAAAGCATTAAGTTGTCTGTCCCTGCTCACATTACCTCAACACCAAAAACTGCATGATATTTTGGATACTCTAGAGATTGTTTTGTTCTTCACTGACTGAAACACAAAATAACAGTGCAAAGCATTTTTTGGTCTGCTTGAAACCATTTTCAACCTGAATCGTCAAGTTCACACCTTGCCAATTATCAGAAAGTTGTACCGTTTACTGCTAAGAATATTATGACAACCTTCAATTTTGTGCCAAGTAAATACTTTTGCATTGGTAAATTCTAAGAGTTGAGTTGTACCAATTTGTGACTATATTTAGATAGTGACGGATATTGATCTTGACCAATCATAATTTCTTTCACTATCCTCCACAACCACATCAACTATTTTTGGTGAAGTAACAAGATCAGGGTAATGTTTAAACTTAGGATAAGGGTTATGGAAACTTACAGTAAGAGGTGAATTTATTATATATTTGTATCTACATTGAAGAAAATTCTTTTTTATATGTCTTTTTCTTATATTTTTACTTTTTCTGTTACATTTTTAATCTTTTTCTTGCTTTTCTTTTTTCTAATTTTTCTTTATTTGTTTCTATATTATATTAGTTTTGGAAATTCAATAAGGTTATTTTTTTTAAAAAAAATCAGGCTAATGAAAATATTGCCATGGTTTTGGATTTTATTTTTCAGACATTATGAGTTTGATAGCATATATGCCACCTTTAAAAAATAATCCCTCTTCTTCCTCCTGCATGAAAAGGAGACATTTTGTCTGTCTATACAGATCATCTTCAGTTAATCGTGGTGATTGGAACTGTAATTTCTGTTATTAAGCAACACAATCATAAAGCAGGATATCACATGATTGTGCCACTTAGTGCCACTAGTTCCAGCAGCTCTGGTGACCATGGTTATGCAAATCCTACACTGTTGTTAAGTGCAACATCACAGAGTTGTTGTTTGCAACCTCCTGCCAGCTTCCCCATTGACTTTGCTCAGCAAAAGCCAGCAGTGAAAATCAGAAATGGCAATCACTTGATTACAGGATGCTGACATTATAACTGCAAGTTGGTCACCAAGCACCCAGATCATAATCATGTTGTGAGAAATTTTATATCCAAATATATTTTATTCTTTATACTGTTTCTTCCCCTTAAAATATTAACAGTATCCACAATGGTCTGAGAATCAGTGTCTCCACTAGATAATTAACAGTCAAGCTAAACTAAGTTAATCAACTAAAATTAGCAAACTTCCTCAAATATGTTACCCAGGTCTAATCCACATATCAAAGGATAACATCTGCAAACACAGAGTTAATTAAATTAGGCCTCCCAGAGGAACTGCATGCTCACAAGAATAAACATACCTACACACAGAGAGAGACACATGCACACATGCCTCAAGTGTCATCCTAGAATCAGCACGTGGCTCCCACTATAAAAATTTGCTGCTGTACCTCATTTCCCTGCAGCTTGGCCATAAATACAAACTGTTTTGCTTTTAGGAATAAATATTTCTTCTTTCCTCACAACTGTCTGAATCTCATTTTTATTTATTCTTGCGCAGCCCCAGTTCGAGTTGGAACCCCAAATTATTCTTCTGAGAACATTATCACGGGGATGCTGAAATGGCCACAATTAGAAGCACAGTCATATGTACCATTCATTCAGCACCATCATATCTTAAATGATCTTAAACAGTCATTGAATGAGTGTCATTAAGCAAGGACTGTTTGTATCCAATCCATATTGCCCCCAGTCTTGGCAAGTTCTCCATATACAGTGAAAGGAATTGACAAGGATTTCCCTTGAACATTTCAGTTTCACAGAGAGTAAAGAGCAATAGTGAAGGAATTCTACATTGATAAAGTTGACACTTTCCTCTTGCCAGCAACATATACATATTGATAGGTTCCTGTAATAGTTTAAAATCAGAAAAAGACACTACTCACGGTGTTTGGCAACATGGAAAATTGTATGAAAAAATTCCTGGTAGGAAATTAAAGGTATTCTTTCAAAAAATATGTTTAGGAAGGAAGAAAGCCTATTGTAAATCCTTCTTTCTCATTACACTGCATAAGTTAAACAACTGGATAAACTACATGTAAAATATACTCATGCATTTGTTATCCAACAGAAGGAGAAAGATTAACTAAAATAATCTTTGACCAATAAGCTTGGTCTTTAAAATGGGTAGAATTGTTGAGGTCCTAATCCCTCTGTTCTTTCCACAGTTTGTTCCCTTGGCAAATATGGTCCTGACTGTACCCTGGAGTGTAACTGCCAGAATGGAGGCACCTGCAATCGATTCAGCGGCTGTATCTGTTCATCTGGTTGGCATGGACAGCATTGTGAAAAGTCAGGTAAAACAAGAGTGATAAGAACATGAATGAATCCCTGAGATCTTCCCAAAATAAGTAATGATTTAGGTTCCAGGGAAGAGGGAGGAGATGTTAAAAAAAAAAAAAGATGACAGCTACACACATAAGAAAGTTTGGGGTTTGATCAGGGCTACCATCTTGATCTTTGGGACAGGGCTCTCCAAACTTGGCAACTTTAAAACTTGTGGACTTCAACTCCCAGAATTCTCCAGCCAGCATGCCTAGCTGAGGAATTCTGGGAGTTGAAGTCTACAAGTCTTAAAGTTGCCAGCCCTGTTTTGTACCCTTTGCTGCAGATTCAACTGGTAGGTTCTTTTATAATTTATGGTGGAAGTCAGGTAGGATATTAGATTTTTAGTGCAAAAAACTAATTATATACAATTATATATAAATATATCAGATATTCACATACTAAAAAGAATGTTTTTTATTTGTTTTCCTATTTCTTATTTCACTTCAAACCCCTTTATATTTTTGATTTCTTATAGCTTTTAGCCTTGAAACTTTCTCCACTCTGACTGTAAATCTATTTCACCCATCCTGTTTTTACTCCTCACTGATTTACTGCTAAGACTGACTTGACTTGCTTTACAGCCTAGTTCCTAGATTTCTGTTACTTTTACTCTCTCTTCTCTCTCTTCTTCCTGCCCTGCTTCCTCTTTATTTCCCCAGAAAGACTTATTTTGCTTTTCTCAGGAAGCAAATGGGTGTGGGTCCAGTTTCTCTCAGTAGGTACAGCTGTCACTCACACTCTCCTGTTGAGAAGACTCCATTCCTCTATTTCAGACTTCACTCTTCTGCCAGTGAAATTTTCCTTTGAGTGAATAACAGAATAACAGAGTTGGAAGGGACCTTAGAGGTCTTCTAATCCAACCCCCTACTCGGGCAGGAAACCTGATAACATGAATATCTGGATCATTTTTGCCAGCCTTCTTCCAGCCCTCATGGATTCTACAGAGTGGCTTCTCCTTCTTTCTTTGACTGTTGTAAGTCTTGATGGACTGTTCTCTGACTTCTGATTTTCCTTTCCTTTCTTTTTCCTTTTTTCCCTTTTTCGTCTCTCCAGCCATCTCCTGCAGGGTCTATGACAATTTGCTGTGGCCAACTTGCCTCAGCCATCTTGCCATGGGACAACTTGTGGCAGGACAAGTATTATACTAATATCAAAAAATGGTGGAATACAATCATTAAAGAAAGGGTGGAAAGGGAGGAATAGAATGAAATGTGAATGACAAAAATTAAAATATTTTTTAATTTTTTAAAAAATAATTAAATTGAATTGTTAAATTGCCTTGTGGCAAGCTGTCACACAGCAAGTTGACTGCAGCAAGTTGTCCCACTCCGTCTCCAGCATGCCTTCTTTTATATTCTCACAACCAGCATTTCTAAATAACAGGTATCCTAAACCTGCCATTTAATACAGTACTTATCAGTTCTCTCTCCCCGCTTCTAGAAAGGCACATGCTTATGGACAGCAAAACATACATTCCTAGTAAGAAATACTAATGAATGGTTGTGGTCTTGGTGAGAGACATGTAGAGATATCCTCACACAAATACACAGAGGATACACTGTTTAATTAATATAAAGCATTTCCCTTTTGCATCAAATTTGCTTCTAAGTGATTTCATGAAACAATCTATGACGTTTTCTTGGTAACATTAGGGAAATAATTTTTCATTGTTCATACGTGCATTTTATCCATTGCCATAATCCCAGTGGATGCTAATTTGTTTTTATATATTTCAAAATAAGAGTAATAATTCATACATTATATAACCTGGAATTAAGGAGAAACTTCCTGACAGTGAGGACAATTAACCAATGGAATAGCTTGCCCCCAGAAATCGTGGGCGCTCCATCACTGGAGATTTTTAAGAAGAGGCTAGACAGTCACTTGTCTGAAATGGTATAGGTACTCCTGCTTGAGCAGGGGGCTGGACTAGAAGACCTCCAAGGTCCCTTCCAGTTCTATTCTATTCTATTCTATTCTATTCTATTCTATTCTATTCTATTCTATTCTATTCTATTCTATTAAGGTATATCTCCAATATATGTCATTAGATGTAAATGGAGAGAGTGGATAAACATCATAAGGTATGTTAAAAAGCTTTCTCAGTGCAATTGTAATGAGTTAACCTTATTATGATATTTTCTGCCAAGACCGTATACCCCAGATCATCAACTTGGCATCTCACTTGGAGTTTAACCTAGGCTCCCAGACCACAGTTACTTGTATAGCAACAGGCAATCCACCTCCTGTCCGTGATAACATTGAACTACGCAAGCCCGATGGAACAGTGATAATGGTAAGAATTTGCCCATTTATATGCTTTACTTTCTGTCTGATACTGTACAATCATGTGAAGTCTATCGCCTTCTCAATTTTGTCTGACTAACGTAAATTTTTCTCTGAGTACTGCAAACAGTGACCAAGGATGAGAAGATCCCCTGCCTCTGAATTCTGACCAGGTACTGGTGACCCCTCCTGTTCTTTGGCATGAACAGAACCACCCACTCCCCTTTTCTCTCCCACGGTCATAGCTGTGTCATGAATTGCAAAAATGGCTAATTCCAAATGAGTTCATGAAAACTAGACCAGATGACCAAGTTCTCAGAAGGCATCTAGTTTCTACTGTATTATTTTTTCTACGTAGGTATTTCAGGATGTCCCATGTCTGAATGGAGCTTCAACAATGTGGTTGTTTTCTCACAAATGTCTTTTAGCAGATTTTGGCAAGATATGATGGTGTTATTGTCTCTCCTTAGCCCACAAAAGCCATCATGGAAAAGGACATGACAACCTGTGAGTTTCAAGTGTCACAAGTAGTCTCTCCTGACTCTGGCCTCTGGGAATGCCGTGTCTCTACCACTGGGGGTCAGGACAGTGGCAAGTTCAAAGTTACTGTGAAAGGTGAGAAGGCAGGACAGGTAATGACACAGCACAGTTAGAGCTTCTGAGATACAGAAAGATAACTGAAATATTCCCAGAGTTTCTAAGTTTACTCCTATTCTGATTGTTCTCTATTTAAGAGGATATTCTATCTGTAGCTTTTTTCCACTAACACTTATCCAGGCAAAGGGTGGTTATTAAGGAAAGGTTACTATTTTATTGAAGTATTAGTTCCCAAACAAAGGAAAATATTATTGGATTTTTAATCCAGGTAAGGATTGTTAGAAGGATTGTGCCTAGTACAGTCCAGGGAACAGTGATTTGAGAAATTATTGATCCAGATTTTTTTTTGATCAAATGATTTCCCCATCAAAGCAGGAGATGCAATTTTACCCTTTTTGTACGCATTTGTAATGAATTCTCCAACCGTTCTCTCCTGTAGTGCCTCCAGTGCCATTATACCCTCCCAGACTTCTGGCCAAGAAGAGCCAACAGCTGGTGATATCCCCTGCAGGGCCTATTGTAGGTGATGGACCCCTCATCTCCGTCAAAGTTCTATATAAACCTCAGATTGGAAGTAGCTGGTCATCTATTGAAGGTAAGGAATTTGTTGTCTCTGGAATGAAGTGACTTTTTATGGCATATCCTCGATATGTTGGCTGAAACTGGACGTTTCAGATCCCTTCCAATCCTCCCTCTATTATTTATCTCTTTTTATTCCAATTAAAGAGATTTTCAATTCCCTAAAGTTGTTTATGTGGGTGAAGGTTCATTCTCTGAGCTTGTGAGCTGGTTTCCGAACGTTTCGTTACCAGGCAAGTAACATCTTCAGCAGAGTTTAGGGGATCAAACTCCTTTGAAGATGTTACCTAGCCTGATAACGGAACATTGGGAAACCAACCCATAAGCTCAGAGAATGAATCTTCGCCCTCATCCTACACCGAGCTACAGATATTTGCCACTATTGCAAAAATGTTTATGTTTATGTGGGGCATTTCTTCTGGCCTTGATTTCATAGATTGCTTTCAATGGAGAAAGGAATCTTCTGTAAAGAGTAGGATCTCAGTATCCTGTTTCACCTTGAGCTCAAACATGCAAATACAGGCAGTCCTCAACTTATGACCACAACTGAGCCCAAAATTTCTGTTGCTAAGTGAGACAGTGAAGTGAACTTTGCCCCATTTTATGGCCTTTCTTGTCACAGTTGTTAAGTGAATCACTGCAGCTGTTATGTTAGTAACATGGCTGTTAAGTGAATTTAGCTTCGCCATTAACTTTGCTTGCCAGAAGGTTGCAAAAGGTGATCACATGACCCCGGGACACTGCAACTGTGATAAATATGAACCAATTGCCAAGCATCCAAATTTGGGTCATGTGACCATGGGGATGCTGCAACAGTCATCAGTGTAAAAAACGGTTGTAAGTCACTTTCTTCAGTGCCGTGGTAACTTCAAATGGTCACTAACCGAATGGTTGTACGTTGAGGACTCCCTGTAGTCTCATGTCAATTCAAAGCAGCAAGTTGCTAAATATCAAAACATCCTTGGGTTTCCTTGGAACCAGCGCTGAAGAAAAACTATATGGAGAATATTATTGCTAATCTGTTTCTCCAGCAGCTTTTGGCATTAATTCTGAAGATGGTTCCTCAGCCATCGAAAGCATTTCTTAGAGTGGACTGGAAGAATCATAAAATAACTTTCTCGCTCTTTTTTTCCACTACAAGTATCTACTAAATATTCCTTTGGATCTAATCCTATATCTAATTTGGGTATACTTCTTCTTAGCCATCCAGACCAAAAACTAGTAGATTCCAGGTTCTAGATTCCTAGGCTAGGGTATCTGCCCAGACAGTCATGAAATTACAAGTTGTATTTAGCAATATAAACAAGAGCTCCATAATATATATTATTGCTTCAGAGAATCTAGAACTAATGATGTTTCTCTCTGCAATAGATTGTAACAGAAAATGGATTAAAGGGTTCTGCCTATTGAGTTTTCTGTAATAAAAAATAGATAAAACAGAACCCTTATATGAAACCCTTGAATTAATGGCTTCTATATTGATGAGCAGTTGATAACATCCAGAACATCACGCTCATGAACCTGCGACCTATCACAGCCTACATTGTTAAGGTCCAGCTAACACGTCCTGGAGAGGGAGGAGAAGGTGCCACAGGCCCAAGTACTATCATGGCAACAGATTGCAAAGGTAAGTGCTTAGTAATTATTTCTCAGATCTATAGTTTTAGGGTGGGGGAGAAGGAGAAAGATTATGATATTAAAGATTAAAGAGAAAGCAAAGAAGAAATATAAGACAAAGAGAAAAAGTCCATTTTTAACAATGGGTGTAGACTTTATTTTGCATTTTATGTTCTCTAAAATGTGTTCTTAGGAACAATCAGATTGTGAATAAAAAGGGATCTATTTGTTCTGGCTTGGAACCAATTTTTTTTCCTTAATGTCAATCCAAGCTCTTTGATTTTGCTTTAATCCTCCATTTTAATATATGTCTATAACATGCTAGCATTTTCAGTTTGGCAGTTTGGCACCTACTCCAGTTGGCTAATTTTGAAAAGCTTTACAGGATCAGGTACAACTGGTATTTGAGGGGTCTTTGGTACTCTCTGGACTTGATTGTTTTCTTGCAGGCATCTCATTACTCAAATTAGGTAATATCATCAATGAAACATCTGCAAGAAAATAACCAAGCCCAGAGAGCACCAAGGACCCCTCATTTCAACCTTGAACTGCAAATAGTCTCTATTGTTACAACTGGGAATTTAAAAAAAAAAATCTGGAAGAAGGCAATAGCAAACCAGTTCCACATTGCCCAGAAAATTGCAACTCAGAAAATGTAGCAAAAATGGAGCAATTTAGTAAGTCACTGTAATAAAGTCAGAAACTGGCTAATTGCTCCAATTCTACTGTCTTCTACATTTTAAGTTGTGGAACGAAAATCTGCTTGTATTTAGTTTTATCTGCAGGATATGATATTTTGAGTAAGAGGAGATGAGATGTCACTCTCAAAATTAGTGAAAGGGACAGGAAAAGAAGACATTTCCTTTACATGGCATTTTTGGTTTATACAAGGAGAACTGCTCACCTCTCTTCTCAGCTAGTATTACCTTCTCTGATTGCTGGAAAAGAAAATGCCTTGCAGCTGAGTGGTGCTATCTTTGACCATCTTTGGGGTAGGGATAGTGACTTCCTGAAGTTTGGTAAAGCAGCTAATATACTGTTGACATTGCAGAAAGTGTAATTGTGTGCTGCATTAAAAAACATTGAGAAGGGAATTCTACACAAAGTTCTAGATGGAGGAATTCAGAATTCCTTGCTTCTTTGTGCTATTGAGAAAGGAATCAGATTGATGGGTTTATATATTTCTCTGTTTCATATAGAGCCAACAGCCAAACCTGTAATTGAAGGTTCATTTTTTGAAGGGAGCAACAATCTACGTGTAAACTGGAATTTGCCCAAAAGTGACAATGTGGGTTCGGGATTTCTTGTCCGGCTCTATGATGCATCCAAAAAGCTTGTTCATCAAGAAAATGTTACTTCCATGATTGTGCAGTCAGCATATATTCCGAATCTCAAGTTCAAGGAAGACTATAGCTTAGAAGTAATGGTCTATCACTGTACCAGCTTGGGACCACCATCTGATCTCCACACATTCAAGATCAACAGTAAAGGTAAGAAATCTGTCGCTTGCAAAATGAACAGGATGGCTTTAGAGTGGGGTACTCAATATAATCCATACAATAAGTATTATATCACAGATCAGGGTTTTAAAATATGCCAGACTTTGACTAGTCTTGTGTTGTACGACAGGTGGCCTAAAAAAATCCAAATTCTTTCTCACTGATCTCTGTCAGTCTGTCTGCCTGTCTCTCCATCTCTCCATCTATTTATCATCCATCTCAATCAGCAGTGGGAAGGAATTTGGGGTTGTTGTTTTTTTAAGCCACCTGTCATACAACACAAGAGACCTCTTCTCGTCCAGTAATTTCTTTGAATTTCCTGTTTTGCTATGGGAAGCTGAGGGTATCATGAAGTAGCTACTCATTGTATTCCAGTATGATGACAAATCCCTTTGAGCCCCAGAGCCCCTGGCTCAGAAGGAGGTGAATTCTGTGTAGAATCTGCAGCAGTTCCACGATTGGATCATTGACCAAAAGTCAGCTAGCGTATATAATCTGTAATAGTCTGTAATAAGAACATGTAAAGATTGCATTTATTCTCTATACTTACATTTTATATCTTTTTAAACACTTTAAAATACTTTTCAAAAGCCTGATGTTCTGACAGCAACTCTAGCTCCTCAAACACTAGAAGAATGTTGCCTGGTTCCATGGCAATTTCAAGAATTGCTGAGAAAAGTCGCTACATTGCAAAGAGCCCAGAGCTTTCAGAAACACACCAGGCCTTTAAAAGTAAATGGATAGATGACATATCTCAGCCAGCTTAGACACTGTAGATAGCTTTTCTATTTATCTTTGGATCTGATCCGAAAATTATTCTGTGGATTTTTAGTAATGTTTAAAAATGGCAAAAAAATGTGCTGGATTGGAGACTCAACCACAAAAGTGAATTCTTAAACAAAACAGACTGTTCCTTATGCAGGTAGTCCTCGATTTATGACCACAATTGAGCCCGAAATTTCTGTTACTAAGCAAAGCAATTGTTAAGTGATTTTTGCCCTACTTTATTATCTTTTTGCCACAGTTGTTAAGCAAATCACTGCAGTTATGTGAATCATGTGGTCATTAAGTGAATCTGGCTTCCCCCATTGACTTTGCTTTTTGGAAGTCAGTTGGGAAGATTACAAATGGTGATTACATGACCCCAGGACAGTACAATTGGCACAAATAAAGGGGATGCTGTAAAGGTCATAAGTGTGAAAAACAGTCATAAGCACTTTTTTCAGTGCTGTTGTAACTCCGAACGCACTAAACGAATGTTGTATGTCGAGGACTATCTATATGCTAAGCCAGGGGTCTTCAAACTTGGCCCTTTTATGACTTGCATGCCTGGCTGAGGAATTCTGGGAGTTGAAGTCCACAAGTCATAAAAGGGCCAAGTTTGAAGACCCCTGTGCTAAGTTATTCTGATAGAAGGTCCCAAGTGCCTAGATGATTGTGGCACAGATCGATTGCAGAGCTAACAGCTGTGCCATTTGCCTCCTCTCTCAGGACCCTCATCACCACGCTCTCTCTTGGTGAACCCCCTCTCTGATAACTCCATCAGGCTATCCTGGCTAGCTCCTGAATACTCTAATGGGGGCATCAACAAATACATTGTAGAGGTGCAACAGCTGGGAGGCAGCAGTGATCCACACTGGATAGACACAGAGAATGGCAGGGATACCACAAAGATTATCACAGGGCTTAATGCCAGCACAATCTACCAGTTTCGGGTGCGAGCCAAGTCTTACGTACTGGGCGAGTGGAGCCAGCCTGCGAAAGCTGAAATCCTGGGTGATGGTGAGTGGGCCAAAAGCTTATTTGGTTAGATGGTGCAATGAAAAATTGGAAGGGGGAGGATATTGGCAGAGAAAGTTTCACATACATCTAGCATGCTTTGACCAAGATTCTCCAAACAAGCAATGGCAACGATCTTGGTAAATTTAGTCTGGAGGCAGAACAGCTTAAGAACCCACAAGTAGTAAAAAGCCATCTTTATTGTACTGTTTGTTGGGTGTGTATCACAAAGCCAATCATTTAATTTCTGTCCCACAGGAGCCCTGAGCCAAGTGCCTACCCTAGAAAGTAAAAACTTGCCTCCGTCTATCATGGACCAGCAATTGATATTAGCCATTGTGGGCTCTGTTTCTGTCACCTGCCTGACCATATTGTTTGCTCTCCTGGCCCTTTTCCTCATCAAGAAGAATTGTTTTCATCGCCGTCGCACCTTTACCTACCAGTCTGGCTCAGTAAGTGCTGTTGTCCCTGACCCATTCGCCTTCACTTCTCCAATGATCTTGACTCCTTTCCATCAGCATCTTCATTCTTTGGCTCTCTAGTACCTGTATCCCCATGCTGCTGACCTGTCTGGTCAGCAGCACAGAGTTACCTGCAACCATTCTCTCCCCAAATCCTCTCACAGGGAGAAGAAACTATTCTGCAATTCAACTCAGGCACCCTGACCTTGACCCGCCGGCCCAAACCACAGCCTGAGCCACTCAGCTATCCCATTCTGGAGTGGGAAGACATCAAGTTTGAGGACATGATAGGGGAAGGGAACTTTGGACAAGTCATTCGAGCCATGATCAAGAAAGATGGCCTGAGAATGAATGCTGCCATCAAGATGCTGAAAGGTGAGATGACTGTTAAGGCTATTGAATAACCCTTTCCTCTCTAGCAGACTGGTTGAATGGATAGACCACCAACTCTGATTCCTGACCTTTTAGCTGAAATGTTAATAACAACAGTATAAATACAAATTCTTCCTATACAATGCAAGATTTTCCTCTAGCAGATAACAGATGTACCAGCCTTTCCTTACAAGAGAAAGCCAAGGGCACTTGCTCAGAGAACAAATTAAAGGGTATCTGAGGCTATAAAATCATGGATATTTAGAATATATTGGCATCACATAGTTAAATGGATGAAACTAGTTTAATAACAATTCCTTATTTGACTGAAATGGTACTGGGTTTTCTGTCTGAACACGTGGCTGGACTAGAAGACCTCCAAGATTCCTTCCAAGTCCGTCATTCTATTCTATTCTATTCTATTCTATTCTATTCTATTCTATTCTATTCTATTCTGTTCTATTCTATTCTATTCCTCCCCTCAAATCTAAATCTATATAAGAAACTAGAGAAATATTTAGTTACTTAATTATTCATTTACTTATTAACGATCTTTATACTCCTTCTTCACAAAGGGCTTCATAACTATAAAAAGGTAAAGATAAAACGAGCAAAACAGAACAATTACATAACACTATTAAGAATCAATTACCTCAGAATTACCTCAGAACACAAGATTAATTTATTTATGCCGCCTTCCTGAAAGATAGCTGGATAGTGAAAGATCAAAACTTCAGCCTTTTTCAAATGCTTTAACCTTTACACTCTGCCACCTAAGAATAGCCACCACCTTCTCAGTCTCTGCTGTAGGAGGGAAAGAGGAACATTGTGCAAGACGTTCAAGATCCTATTATTATACCCTATATAACAATAGTCTTCACAACTTTAAGATGTGTGAATTTCAGCTCCTAGAATTCTCCAGCCAGTATGCTGGAGGTTGAAATGCATACATCTTGAAGTTGTCAAAGTTGAGAAACACTACCCCATAACAATGGAGATCCAGTGGTTCAGGAAGTGTCTGTTTCCTGATCTGGCCTCCCTCAAAACTGACAGTAGTATGGAAATACATTTGATGCTTTGCTCTCACAGAAAGAGAAGCTTAGGGAGCCATTCAATCGCAGCTGATTTCATATATTGCATCGTAAAATTTAGACACGTAGATTCAACACATGGATGCAGCAAGTCTTCGTTCCCCTGAATGATTGTAACTAATATTGCCAAAACTTTTCTATTTTCATAGCACTCCAAGGATTATGTTCTAGCCCAACTTCCATAGCTAAAATGAAAAGAAGGTGAATATAAAAATGGTTCATTGAAAGAATGTCTTCTAGATTAACTTCACCTGGAAAATAGCAGAGTTCTTAAAAAAAAAGAGAAAAAGTTTGGATGTGTGTAATAGTTATAAACTAGGGGATAGGAAAATCATACGGATATCCTCTCCCCCTATTATGATCTAGATTTAATTGTACATTAGGTGAAGAAATATCAAAGGAATTTTACGCAATATGTATTTTATGTATCATGTAACTAGTCCTAAGATAATATATGCAGCTGCTTTATACCAAATCAGATAACAAATATGTTGCTCTAGCTCAGTCCTGACAATTCCAATATGGAGTAGGCTCATCTTCACAGCCTGCAAATCAGGACACAAAGATGCATTGCTAGTTTTTTTTTTTTAAGGACGTATTCTGACAGCCTTTATTTCATCCCCAGCCTAACAAAGGCAGCTTAAATTCAGTGGTACAATGTTTTCTCTCTTCTCCCAAGGATCTGTGGCACAGTAAAAATAATTCTAAGAGCCCCAGGAGCTGGGATCTGCCCAGGACTGCTATAGGCATACCCGATCCCCTGTAGAAAATGCAAATTTGCAGAGCGATTCTGCATGTGTCAGTGGAAGAGCCTGCCTCTTTCAAACTGGGCTTTTCCCCTATATCTGCCACATTTCTGATTGTACAGCATGGAACTTTGGGATTTGAGACCTGACAAGAAAAAACCATTTCTCCCGCCAACTTTCCCAGCCCAACAAGCTGTTTAGCAAGTTACCAAGGCCTAAGAGGAATGGCAGCAATGAGATTTTTTTTTCCCCTCTGCCAGATCTCTAGTTGCCCAGAACTTACCAATGTGGTCAGAAACCTGGCAGGGAAATCTTCCTATGCTTAATGTCAATAAATCTAACAAATGAAAGGCTTTAATTAAATCAAGAAAGCTCCTCTCCTGGTTTACTATGATGTTTCCACCCACTTGTTGATCAAGTTTAGATAGATGTCCAAACCTTCTGGTTAGAATCTTCTTCTTTCTCACCTCCAACCTATATTATTAACAGCAATTGCTGAATTTTTTTCCCCAGTTGGCAGGAAATCCACCGATACCTTTTCTTAACTTGTTCTACTTTAAACTATGAGTTACCTTAAAGCACTACTTACCGGCATCTTTACTGAGTAAGCTCCGCAGTGAGCCATGAGAGTAGTACAATTTATGCACACATATTTTCTGCTGATTCTGAGACAGGAGCAGTGGTGGGATTCAGCCGGTTCATACCACTTCGGTAGAACCGGTAGCTAGGCCCAGAACGGACTTCTGGAAGTGGCATCCACACAGAGAACCGGTTGTTCGCATATTTGAATCCCACCACTGGACAGGAGGAATAGTTGTGACTATTCACATCTGAAGATGCCAGGGGCTATAAGCTGAAAATCTTTCCTACCAAACAGGCCATCTGCTATAATCCTCATGCTAGCTAGCTTTCCTAACTGAATTTGACAAAATTGACATCCTCATCTATATTTCAGAATTTGCCTCTGAGAATGATCACCGGGATTTTGCTGGCGAACTTGAAGTTCTTTGTAAGCTGGGGCATCATCCCAACATCATCAACTTGCTGGGAGCCTGCGAGAATAAGGGTGAGTGCCAGTGACTCAACACAAAATAATCTCTGGACTTAGATCAGAGGTGGGGAACCATGGCCCTTTTATGAGTTGTGGGCTTCAACTTCTAGAATTCCTGAGCCAGCCATGCTGGCAGTTGAAGTTCATAAATCATAAAAAGGCCATGGCTCCCCACCCTTGACTTAGATTAAGAAAAAAATAACAGCATAAGATTATTTTCAGTACTCACCATTATTTCCATTTGTCTGCTTTTTTTCTCCTAAACTACAGCATATTGATTGAAGTATTGTTCCACAAATGCTATCTATGGCTGAGGAGATCAAAATAATGATTTTTTTTTTAGTAATCTCTTACCTGGCCATTAACATTTCTTTCTCTCTTCATCTCTTTTTTTTAGTAATTTTATTAAACATTACAATTAAACAGATAAAAATTAATATAGACTGAAAATCCAAAAGCAGCAAATAAAAAGTGCAGAAAAGAGGAGGGGAAAGAAAAACAATTTCACATTTTTGCCATGGTCATCAACACTGCTCTTTCAGAGATGTCTTCAGTCCACATTCTTTCCCTAGAACCTGAATCGTGGAAGCCAGCCTTCTAAACTGCATCCCTCTCACTTTACATGAGGGTGGTTCTTAAGTAGGACCTTCCTAAATGTTGTTACAATATAGAACGGCATCCATATGAACAAAATGGCATCTGAGGAACATCACTGATTGGCCCAGAATGGTACTGCTCAATATTTAACTGATAGGACCAGGCAGAAGGATGTGCCTCCTGAAGCAAATACCATCCACACAGGTCCTGCTGCATAGAACTGATAGACCAGCAAAGGAAAACAGACTATCCAAACTGTCTCTCTACACTGGGGGAATGGCATTAAAACAGCAAATGCATTTTAATGTATACAATGAACTATGTTAGAGCAAACCTATCTATGCACAGCATGCATGTCCAAACTTTTTATTTCGGTAAATTTTTAAGTGAACAGAAGCTGAAATAATCACAAATATATTGACCGCCAGGGAGCAGCACATGAACAGTTAGACTCTGCACAGATTATCTCTGCTCTAAAAGCATAAAGGAAGATGAACTGTATATAAATGCTGTTCTAAAGATAAATACAAAATATGACATAATTCTGTAAATGTTATACATACTATTTATGTTGTTTGCATATTCAAAGTAAGAAAAAAGGTGAATATCATAGGTGCAGAAGTTTCAACCCCTTTCAGGCAATAGTTTTGCAAAAATTATATTCTTCAAACATTTCCTATCTGGGTGGAGGGAGGAAAGAGGAAGAGGCAAACAACTGGAAGGGCTTCAACCTTCTCCACCTGCCCTATTCACTGTTATTTTGAATCTGTACACAACTGCACACTAATAATCAAATCTGTAGAAAGAGATCATGTTTCACTTGGCACCATTTAGTGGTTGGATCACTTTTTGTTCTCTCTCTAATTCATTCAAAAATATGATTTGAATGGAGTGCAGAAACTTTGTTTAAATGAGCTAGTTATCAGGAAAAGCAGTCAAGATTGCAGCAGGTGGCTCAATCAAAAAATCTTTGGGTGGTGGTCAAAGTATATTCCTATTATATTAGGAAACATTAATAAAAGGATCAATAATACATGTATTATAATAATTACAAGTGCTGAGATACTGAGATGACACAGTTTGACAGACTTTGGCCTAACCTTCTAGGTTACTTATACATCGCTATTGAATATGCACCCTATGGGAATTTGCTGGACTTCCTACGCAAAAGCCGAGTGCTGGAGACAGATCCTGCCTTTGCCAGAGAGCATGGGACGGCCTCAACCCTCACATCCCAGCAGCTCTTGCAGTTTGCATCTGATGTAGCCAAAGGCATGCAGTATCTGAGTGAAAAACAGGTCTGTATGCCTAGCAGCCCGAGTCTCTGGACTCGCTGATCAGTCATTTGTATATCCAGTTCCTGTTTCTGCTGTGTTTCACAAACACAGAATGGTAGAACTGTGACCATTCTGCAGAATGACTTCACAGGACTAGAATAGTGCAAATGTTTTCAGAAGGAATTATTGGGAATTTGGAGAGTGACCGGTAGAAGCAACTGGGTATTGTCCTAGTATGAACTAGAACTGAATGAGTTAGAATTTTGAATCATGGATGGTCATGTATTTTCAAAGAAATCCTTGAGAAATGTTAGATTTGAGATGCACCAAGGAATTCCAGTCCATTCACAGGAGAACATGTGACTGTTGTCATTGCCTATAAAACAGTGGCATTCTTTGCCAATAGCTATATGAATTTTTATTGTTGCCTTTTTCCTAGTTTATCCATCGAGACCTAGCTGCCAGAAATATACTGGTTGGTGAAAACTTGACCTCCAAGATTGCTGATTTTGGCTTGTCCCGAGGAGAAGAAGTTTATGTAAAAAAGACAATGGTGAGTTTGGTAGAGAATCACAGCTAAGTGGGAATTAGAATAACTAGAATATTCCTTGAGAAACACTCTCCCATATTGCCCATGCTTCTTTTCTATTTTGAAGAAAACAGTGTTCCATATCTTTTTCTTTGTTGTCTCTCCTTCCCCTGCTTCTTATTTTTCAAAAAATGTTGCAGGGACGTTTACCAGTTCGTTGGATGGCCATTGAATCCTTGAATTACAGTGTATACACAACTAAGAGTGATGTGTGAGTATCCTATCATTTGGGAACAGGGTTCACCTCATATTTCAAGTGGTAGGCACTGCTCATTCTTCCACAAAGTCTTTTGATCCTTTTCTTAGCTGACATAATAAGTAAGGTACGTTGTGGCCAATGTTTGATTCAAGCATTTCCAACTACGTAGCTGTCCTCTAGCAAGATTGTTCATGCTAGCTAGAACGTATAGGGGCTGACATCCAGCAAGTTTTTAGATGTTGAAAGACATGTAAAATGACTTACAATTGGTAAACAGAAGATACTGAGTTTTTAATATTTTCTTTTCCTTTGTAGAGTAAGTAAGGAACCAAAACCAAAATAAATGTAAAAAAAAATAACACATTCTATTATTAGGCAAAATATACTAAAGGTCCACAGCCCACATCCTAACTTATCTTTCTGTTTCAGGTGGTCTTTTGGGGTCCTTTTGTGGGAAATTGTGAGCCTGGGTAAGTTCCTATCGAGTGAGAACAGGCTGGACTTTGTTCCCTCAATTGTCCTTCCATAGTCGCCATCCTACTTGGGCCCCACACTGCTTTGTACAGCTTGTTCTTCTCATAAGTTCCACTTCCTCATATTTCTCTCTGTGGCAAAAAAAACTTCTTCATTTTGTCTCAGCAAGATGAAGTAATTAGATTAAACATTCATGGTTGAAGCAAGCACAAAGTGTGGACAATCTGAGGATTCTCTTAAGGGAGAAGACAAAGTGTACATAAGTTCCTATCTCATGCTTATTGCTTTGATATTTTCAAACATGCTACACTTTTCACTGGGTGGAGACAAAAGATAAGATGGTTCTAATGTAGACATGGACAGTTCTGGAATAGATGGCAGTATTAAGATACCAGCTTTGTCCTGGAAATTAAAGGCTACTATACATGTGCATTATATCCCCAAATGGGTAGATGTGGCATCTGATCTGTCTTTCCTCTTGCTAGGAGGGACACCATATTGTGGCATGACATGTGCTGAGCTTTATGAAAAGCTGCCCCAAGGATACCGCATGGAGAAACCTCTCAATTGTGATGATGAAGTGTAAGTAGAAGCCTTGTTCAAACATCCACTTTCTGCATATTTCATTCTCTATCTTCTAATTATATTACATATTCAACCATATTCCATTGATGGTAAATGGCAGACTAGGACTTGGTTTTCACATGTTCTCATTGTTTCATTCTGGTAGAAATGCTTAAGAGAAGTGAAAACAGACTAGCTTTTCAGGGTAGACTATCCTGGCATTTCCTCTATCCTCAATGTTTTGTCATTGTTGTTTTTAATTTGTCACTTCCTCCTGCAGGTATGAATTAATGCATCAGTGCTGGCGGGACCGGCCATATGAACGTCCACCATTTGCTCAGATCTCAGTGCAGCTCATTCGCATGCTAGAAGCTAGGAAGGTATTGATATCAAAAGATTGTCCTACTGTGATCTAAACAATTACTGTGAGCTCTGGAGTGTTTATAATCAGATATCATTGCCCAATGTTACCAATAGAATAGTCAAGGCACTATTTTCATGGATTCAATTGAAAAAGACACAGTGTCAACTGTATCTCTCAATTTACTTCAGAATGATGGAATACAGGTAGTCCTTAGAGATATAAACCAGTAGGAGTATATCAAGCGATTGTCCCAAGGCATGGTATAGAGTTTACTTTTAGCACTATTTCAATGTAAGGCTAAATAGTGAGTTACTATTATCCTTTAGTATATAATCAAAACTAAGAGGAAAATGTAATTTCAAACCAAGGATGAGAAGAAATCTCCCTACTGAGTAGCCTTTAATATGATTCTGTTTCTCCTTTGCCAGGCATATGTGAACATGGCATTATTTGAGAACTTCACTTATGCAGGAATTGATGCAACGGCTGAGGAGGCATGAGGACTTCACTTTCAACAATGGCAATAAATATAGCCCAGATGATTGGGACTTTCTTATGAATTTGTCTCTTGGTGATATCAACAACTTATCATACAGACTGTGCTGGGCAAAGTGTACAGTTGGATGCTGTTAGTTTAGAAGATCCTGCAGGAATCTAACTTGTCAACTTTCCTTAGAATGGAGGAGAATACCCTTGAATGGATTGTTCCAAAATGTGGGGCTTTTGAAAATCAAACATTAAAGGTATTTTCTGTGTAAGAGAGAGGCCCCTCACTCCAAGGGAGAACATATGTAAAGTGCTCCACCATACTGAAGAAAAAGGGTCTTAAGAAGTCTGGGACCCAGTCAAGGGCATTGTGATTACAATGCACACCATACAAGAAAGGGCAGGCTCATGTTACTGCAAAATTCCTTGGACAATATTACTGAAAAAGTTGGGCAGTTGGCAAACAGTGCAATTCCTTCCAGAACCCAATTCTCCAAGAATAACATCTATCCATAATGATCAGTTTTGTTAGCCCCACTAACTAATTGAGATCAGAAAAACAACTCCACAGAAAAACTAAAGCTACTTTTATTGAGAAAAACTAAAGCTACTTTTATTGAGACTGACTATAATTATGGAATCTTATGAGTCTGATTGAATTGAGAGATCTGACATCACACCGCTTCAGCTGTGGTTCACTTTGATGGCAACCTACCATAAAAGATGGAAAGGGGGGATGACAAGAACCAGAAGTGCCAACCAAAGACAATAGTTGAATGATCCAAGGACACAGCATGGGAAAGGAACGTGAATGCCTTCCAAAGAGGTGCCAAACTTTAGAACTATTATCAAAACAACTAATTTGAATTGTATTGGACACTAGCAAAATGACCAAGGGGGAGGGCCTGAGAGAGGGAAAACTTATCAGCTTTAACACCGGATAAGAACGTATAAAGGTGTTTCAAATTAATGTTGGGAATGTAAATGTAAAGAGTTTTTTTTACCATTTATGATGGACAGGTGATAAAACAAAGAAATATTGGAGTAGGATCCACATCTTAATATAGGAAATTCTTAAAGTGAATATATATCCTTCTTTATTTTACCATTATTTTCATTTTTCTTTGTATGCCTGTATTTTATATTTTGATAAACTAATAAATTTTTTGATAGTAAACATGTTAACCAGAGCAAGATACATAATACACCTAAAAATTAACTAATGGTCCTCTCTTCTGACAGCTTTCTAGTGAGGAAACCTATGCATTCCAGTAGAATTTAGAAGGGGGTGGTTGATAGAGATTGTTAGATCAGATGAAGCCATCAGTAAAGAATTCCATAAAGGGTTGGGAAATGGCTGCTATAACATATAATATACTTTAACTCTTTAAAGGGGGAAATGTTATACTTTAGAAAAACTGTGATTTCATTTAAATTTTAATGGCAGAATTTTGGAAGTAAATGGGAAAAATGAGCCAGGATCCTATTCAGCTTAAGGATGCAACTTACTCAAACCTGCTCTATAACTTCCAGGATTCCTGATACTGGCATTCCAAAAATGACTTTGCCATTAAGAGGTAAATGATATGAGCTGGACAAAGGTTCAGATTCAGTATCCAAAAGTTGTTTTGAAGGGTGTAGGAGAAAGAAGAGGGATCTTTCCCGCAACCTTTGAAGGAAGCAGTGATGAGGCCCCTCCTCAAGAAGCCTTCCCTGGACCCAGCTGTTTTGAAGAACTTTCGTCCTGTCTCCAACCTCCGCTTTGTGGGGAAGGTTGTAGAGAAGGTGGTGGCGTCCCAACTCTTGCGATCCTTGGATGAAATGAATTATCTGGACCCTTTTCAATCTGGTTTCAGGCCCAGCTACAGCACTGAGACTGCTTTGGTCACACTGACCGATGACCTCTGGTGAGCCCGGGATAGGGGTCATTCCTCTATCTTGGTGCTTCTTGACCTCTCAGTGGCTTTTGATACCATCGACCATGGTATCCTTCTGCGTCGTCTCGGAGAGGTGGGGGTGGGCGGCACCGTATTGCGGTGGTTCTCCTACCTCTCTGACAGGTCGCAGTCGGTGTTGGCGGGCGGACAGAGATCGACCCCTAGGCACCTCGATTATGGGGTGCCTCAGGGCTTGGTCCTGTCCCCCCTCCTTTTTAACATCTACATGAAACCGCTGGGTGAGATCATTCGGCGACACAGGGTGAGGTATCATCAGTATGCGGATGATACCCAATTGTATATCTCCACCCCGTGTCCTTTCAGTGAAGCAGTCGGCGTGATGTGCCGGTGCCTGGAAGATGTGAGGGTCTGGATGGGGGTGAACAGGCTTAGACTCAACCCTGACAAGACCGAGTGGCTCTGGGTCATGCCCCCCAAGGATCATCCTGATGGTCCATCATTAGTCCTGGGAGGGGGTTAAATTTACCTCCCTCAGTGCAGGCACGCAACTTGGGTGTCCTCCTGGACTCACAGCTAAATTTGGAACAACATCTATCGGCTGTGGCCAGGGGGACCTTTGCCTAGGTTCGCCTGGTGCACCAGTTGTGGTCTTCTTTGGACCGGGAGGCTCTACTCACGGTCACTCATGCCCTTGTCACCTCAAGACTGGATTGCTGTAATGCGCTCTACATGGGGCTACCCTTGAAGAGCGTTCGGAGGCTGCAGTTGGTTCAGAATGCAGCCGCAAGAGTGATTGTGGGTGCACCAAGGTACACCCACGTGTCACCTATCCTGCACTGGCTTCCTGTGGGTCTCCGGATGCAATTCAAGGTGTTGGTTATCATCTTTAAAGCCCTTCATGGCTTAGGACCAGGTTACTTACAGGACCACATACTGCCGCATAGTTCCCAGAGACCGGTGAGGTCCCACAGATTGGGCCTCCTTCAGGTCCCGTCGGCCAGACAATGTCGCCCGGCAGGCCCTCGGGGAAGGGCCTTTTCTGTGGTGGCTCCGACCTGGTGGAATCAACTTCCCCCCGAGATTCGAACTGCTCCCACCTTGCCGGCCTTTAAGAAAGCCATTAAAACTCTCCTGTTCCGGCAGGCCTGGGGTTGATGTCCCCGGGGGGGCCGGGATACGATTGGGATATGCTGTATGAATGCACTTATTTTACTGTTTTATTGTTATATTTATTGTTTTAATTTTGTATGCCGCCCTAAGTCCCTAGGGATTGGGCGGCATATAAATTTTAAAAATAAATAAATAAAATAAATAAATCTGAAAAAGCAGATTTTTTTCCCCCAGATTGAAAAGGTGTAGCTGGTTTAACACACCTTATTATATGAAAATGGTTCTACTCATTAGTATTAATGCATACATATAATGGGAAATGAAATTAAATGCATCTTCTTAGGATAACAGAAGACTAATTTGGATTTGTAGTGGAAAAGGTTTCTTGTATTATTGAGTCATTATCATACTTTCAGATTTTTATGTGTGTCAGCAGAGGTGACTTTATAATAAAGGCAGGAGGTAGTATGACAATCCAGAAATCTTCAAATCCATATTTTAGTAAAAGCCTATCTATTCATTATCATGATATACAATAATTGTAGTTGCCATTGTGTGATGTTTACTGAAAGGTGCAGTGTTTCTCAATGTTGGCAATTTGAGAGGGGAATCCTGGGAGCTGAAGTCTATATGTCTTCAAGGTTGAGAAATACTGCCCCAGTGTCTCTTTTTCTATTACAGTTATAAGTACTTGGAACAGTAAATGAGGCAGGAAATGGTAGGATGTATAGAACACTCCCTTTTACTCTATTGTAATTACACCAATTAACTGTTAAAGCTGAACAGGAATGGAACAGCTGTTTAGCAAATGAAATTGAGGTCCATTTACTGTAGATTACACAGAGAAGGTGGGGCGATTGTGCAGGTTAAACTATGTCTTTAGCACTCTTCTTTATTATCGCATAATATTGAGAGTTGGCCTACTTTCAGCTTTCTTCCTAGGATATATTTTTAAACATTTTAAAATAGGAAAGTAAAAGAAAATAATGGAAAAATCAATACATACAAGTAAAGCAGTTTTTCCCTCACTGTTACGTTTTTGCAGAAATGTAGATTCATTTCTTTGTTGGTTCTCCCTTCCTGCTCTGCAATCTGAAGCTTAATGTTCAGTAGAAGGACTAGTAGCTGCTGAAAATTCAGAAGTATGCTTTGGACATTGTTATGTGGATCTCTTCTTCCTTACTAAACCTTTTCTTCTGTTCCATACAAAAATTGTGTCAAACGTCTTTTTCATAAATGAGTTTTTCAAACTCTGGACAAATTATACTTCATGCTTCCAAGGGATGATAAATGACCCACACCTATTCAAATGCAATGAAACCATGAGTCACAGCACCCAACCCTTCAAAACCACTGTTAGTAAACTACTTTTTACCAACTTAATTATAAGTTTTCCTTGGACTATTTCAGGACATGCTGATGGAGAAATATTTACGGTAGTTTTATTTATATTGACTATTTCCCTCCCCTTGACTTTGTCTACCAACTTTCTTTTGTATTACCAGCCCTGTTTAGAATCAGGTATTATACTCTGTCAAAACTGAGGAATTTGAGTGGGTTTTTTTCACTAGCTACAGATATATATTATAGAATCATTTGAACTGTGGGGAGAATTTTATTCAAGGGGTTAAAGTAGTTTATATATCACAGCAAGCAAACGTTAATGGAGATCTAACCAATCCATGTGAAATTCAAAAGGGTATGAGACAAAGATGCCCCTTATCTCCCTTGTTTTTATATTGGTGTTGGAAGTCTTGAATAGAGATATTAGGCAAATAGCAGGTATAAGTATCAAAAAGGAAGTTTATAAATTAAGGACATTTGCTGATGACTTGGTTATACTTTTTCAAGAACCAAAAAATAATATAGCATATTTGATGAGGAAATTAAATGAGTTTGAGCTTTAGCAGGTTTTACAATAAACGAACAGAAAACAACAAGGCTTATTAAGAATATGACCTCTCAGGACTCTGATATATTGACTAAAAAGTCTGGTTTTAAAGTTGAGAAAAAGGTGAAATACTTGGGGGTTATAGTGACAAATACAAATGCAAAACTGTTTCAGAATAACTATGTGCCTCTTTAGAACGAATTATTACAATGAGATAAACTTTGATTTTCTGTTTTACTGATTAGATAGGTTATAGAAATGGCTAGTTTATACTATTATGTAAAAGTAAAATGTTGATATTTGATGTTATTATCTTATTTTACTGCACCAAAGGGAGTCAGAGGTCAATGGCTTTTCTTTCTTTTTCCCCTTTTTCCTACACTTTTCCCTTCCCTTTCCCTCCCCTATTTTTCCTATGGTTTTCTTTTGTATTTTTATATTTTACACTATAAACTAATAAAAAGAATTTACCATCTGCAAGAAAATTTAGATCAGGGTTCTGCTTTGAAACAATGCCAGAATTATCATCTGTTACGTCCCATCAGCTGATTCCAACCCACATATAGAGGCTCTTCCAAGGCCTTGCAAGTGTACAAGTCAATTCCAGTGGCAATAAGTAAGGAGGCCAGAAATACTCATGTACATTTACACAGAAAAGCCAGTTATTTTTCCTGACAAACTTTTTTTACCCCTAGTAAGCCATAGCTGAGTCTGAAGATAAACCTTGTGATATCACTGCCTTGGTAGTAGGTGAGTACTGAAATCATTTTAGTATCTGTCTAGTAGTATTAATACAAACAGCCAATTATTCAGCTCCTAAATGTGGTTTCCTTGAACTAATGGACTATGTTTTGTACATTGACTGAATTTCTTCATTTGATACCTGATTACTAACTTATTGAAATGATTCTTATCACTGCAACTATTCTCAGCTATCCTGCTTAAGCTTTCTGTTGGAACTATTTCTAGGATAGGATACAACACAGAATTTGCTTAGGTTTGTTCTGAATAGACGTTATTTGTTATTTACTCCTTCCTTAACATAGTTTCTCAAGAAATATCTAGAATTGAGATATCATCACTGCATCATCTGACTGAAAGACATCTTGGTTTTCCAGTTTTTTCACTCTACTATTTTAAAAGGAAATTATTAGTATGAAGCAATTCCAGCCATGTTTTATCAGAAAAATCTTTCACTTTTCCTCCTTAATCTCTGTTTTGCATTCTTGTGTAGCTATTTTCCCCTCCCTTACTCAACCTGATGAAGTACAAAATGAGCTTTTCCCCTATCTTGAAACTGAAACCTACAATATTTTAAACATGAATCTCTTAGCAACCGATGGTACAGTTATGTGTGAACTTAGAATGTATGCTCCTTTTTATTTCTAAATGTTAGAACTACTTCTATATTTTTTTTAAAGTTTTACTGGCTAGCATCCCTCTATAAATCATATTTGAATCATATTATCTGCTCGATATTTTTTTATAGCAGGTAATCCTTTGATGCTCTCTATCACTTCTATTTCCAGGCTTCTTCCCAGAGTCCTCTCTGATGGTCTTTTAATTTAACCTCTTTGATAATTCTGCATATGCTGCCCCTCCTTTTGTTATGAGCTTTGGGCCTTTTGAGATTTGAACTATTTTCTATTCCCAGCTCATCAGCACAGTTAAAACAGAGTAAATTCAGATTACGTGATGGGTTTATGCATGGATATATGAAGAATGGGTCTGATGCTCTGGCATTTCAATGCTTCTTCTAGAAGATGGGTTCAATATCTGCTGAAGAACAAGCCTCTTATGTTCTTTGGCAACAGCTATTTGAGGATAGCAATTACTTTTATTTAAACATGCAGA